CCCCCCCCCCCCCCCGAGGGAAGGCCTGGTGCGGTGGGGGGGCACTCATACTCACGCCCCGAATCTGGCCCAAAGAGGAAAGTGTGGGCCTAGGGTTCCAGGAGGCCCCTAGAAAGAGACTCCCTAAGCTCAGACCAGCTGCTTGGGGCTGCTGGGAGCCAGCAGGGGTATTTTCATGGAGGTGCGAGGGAAGGGCCCCTGCATCGCACCCTCCATCTTCCTTTGCGTCCCCAGGCCCAGGCATGAAGAGGCAGGTTGTTTGACCCGATGACCGGATGAGGGGCAGTGAGGGGTGGGAGCTGACCCAGACCTGCCAGAATCCACCAGGCCCACCCAAACCTTCTACCCCCTTGCGCTCCCTGGCACCTTTTTACTTCTCCCCAGCTAAGGTTGGTGTTGAAGTTGGTGAGCCGGAGCCAGAGACGCCCTGGCCTGGCTCCTCCACTTACCTGCTGGGGGACCTCCAGGGACTGTCTTCTTTTTGAGCCTCACCTTCCTCATCTGTAAAAAAAAGAAAGGCATTCCTTTCTCTGGGGTTGTCCTGAGGACTAGGGAAGACACCATATGTCAAATGTCTGCCCACGGTTGTGTCCCTGGCCCCAGCCCCGTCATTTCACCCTCAGGACCCAGAACTGATGAAAGTCACTTAGGTAGCTGTGAGATCTCTCTCAGCTCTGAGGTTTAGGGTCCCTTCGGGCATGTGGGCCTGGCCTGACGCTCCCCAAAATTTGTGGGAAGGTCGCCTATGTGGCCAGGAGAAGGCACTGAGCCCCAAGCATGTCCAAGCCCTTGGTCCCTGGGGGGAGGGGACTATGGGTGTAATGGCTTCCGTAGCTCTAAAGCAGACACCTCCTTCATGAACCTGGGCATCAGGAGCAGGCACAGTGGGAACAAAAGCAGTCCCCCACCCATCCCTGCACCTTGAGTGCAGTTTCTCAGGCAGCTACCAAGGCCTTGGGGTTGTTCTGCTCCATCCCCAACCCCCAGCTGGCCCTCTCTCCCCTACTCTCCTTTAGCTTCAATGAGCATCAAGTCCAACCTTAGCTCCCTCCCCAGCTCTGTCCCAGGGCCACCCCCACTGAGTCACTGCCTCTTGTTCCCTCCCTCCCCTTCTGCTGTCCATCCCTACCCACCAGCCAGGCCCCCCTGGAGCCCTAAGAGTTGGGGGGATCTGCTGGCAGGCACAAATACCCCTTCCAAAGCCAGAAGCAAAGAAGAGGCCTCAAGCCACAGGCCGTCACTGACCCTGGCACCCCTCGACACAGCAGGCGGATTCAGAGGAGGCACAGACTCTAAGACAGAGGCAGGGTTAGGCCCTGGTTTCTCCACTCCACATGGAATGTGCATTGTAAGCTTCATGGAAAAAGAGACAGTATGTTATCCACTTCTATACTTCCAGCACCCAGCACAGGGCCTGGCACAGAATAAATGCTTAGGAGTTCCTGAGACTGGTCATACTGCCTTCCTAAGGCTCCCTATCTATAAGCCAGATGGAAACCAGAGTCACAAATGGAGACAGATTCAAAGCCTCAACCTGAAAGGCAAAGACAGAGAAGAGGCAGAGAACTATAGGATGCATAGCCCCAGGATGACAAAGCTACAGATAGAAATGGGGACACACTGAGGTCTAGTAGGGAACTTTGGGGGGGCTGGGCCCGGAGCCAGCTTGGGGTGGCTGACCACAGCAGGCTCTGTGGGCTGAGCTTGCAGGACTGAGCAGTGACTCATGGGGCCCATCTCTGTGGCTCTCCTGGCAGCAGAATCTACTCACAAGCAGCCTTTTCCACTGAGATCATAAAATGAAGATGGGCCTCCCTCCCATGTCCTTTCCCCAACCCTCCTTCAGCCTCCCATTCTTTGCCAGCATGAATCAATCGAAACTAAAATGGAGAGAGGGGCCTCTGGGCCTCAATGAGCCTAGAGATATGAGAACCAATCATTCCCCCCACTTTATCCCTGCACACCCCTCTTCAGTTCTGCCCCAAACAGTGAGGGCAAAAAATACCCCAGACCTTCCAGACCTCTCTCACCTTTGGCCTAAATAACCTCCAAACTCCTTACTTTGGCATTCAAGGCCATCCAAAGGCATCACAGCCTTCCTGCCCAGCTCCCAGACTGGAAAGTGTGTCTGATTACAAGTCCCATCACGAGCAGTCTCTACCTGGAAGGCCATGCCCATCCCCTGATCAAATCCTTCCTCCTTCAAGGCCTAGATGCAGTACCTCCCTCACAAAGACTTTCCCAGCCATCCCAGCTAGGGGGGACCACCCAGCCATCTCCTCTCAGCTCAGGCAGCACCTAGTGAGTGTCCCTCCCTCTCTTCCTCATCACCCGCAGACTCACAGACTCATGTTTGACCCTTACCCCCACCACTCTCACTGTGAGCTCACTTGCTTCCTCCCCCTCCACGTGTCTACTCACCTGTGCCTTGCAGCCCCGCCCTTCTTAGTTACCCAGTTCAGCTCCAGGCCTAGAAGCCCCCCCTGTACCCCCTCCCCTACACCATCAGTTGCCTAATTGTGTGGATTCAATTTCCTCAAATTTTCTAATCTAGTAATTCTCAAAGTGTATGGCCTGTGAGCCACCTCCCTCCAGAGCACTAGTTAAGATTATAGATTTCTGGGCCTCCATAAAATCTGTTGAATCAGAACCTTTGGGGGTAGGCCCAGGAATCTGCATGTTTGACAAGCTCCCCAGTGATTCTGACACTAAAGTCTGAGAACAGCTGTCTGCCCTCCAGCCTTCCAACAAGCTTTCCATCCTCCACCTGGCACCAGCCACACACACACACACACACACACACACACACACACACACACACACACACACACACATTGACTCCTACCAGAAGCTTACCTAGACCTCAAGGCGCCACAGCACTTTCTGTGTGCCTTTGTCTTGCAGTATAAGACCAATAATGACAAACATTTATGATCCCTTACAGTGGGCCAGACCCTGGATAGATTCTTCCCCATTTTATCTTTCAGTTCTGCCTGCAACTTTACGAAGTAAGTATGATTGTTATTCCATTTTAGAGATGAGGACACTGAGGCTCAGAGAGATTATGTAACATGCTCAAGATGACATAGCTGGTAAGTGACAGCTGGGACTGTGTGACTCCAAACTGTTAACTACTAGTTAACTACTAGGTCTTATCACTGCCAAGTATAAACAGCCTGAGGGCAAAGCTGAAATCACTCTTCTCTCAGGTCTTGCCCACACATAACACAGAACAAGACAAAGTTTAGTGCCCAAGTCTGTAACCTTCAAAGTGTGTCAAGAGTCCTTCAGATCTATGGAGACAAAGTAGGTTAGTGATTATCTAGGGCTGTGGAGGGCAGGGGATGAGGAGTGACTGCTAACGGGTACAGGGTTTCTTTTGGAGATGATGAAAATGTTCTAAACTTAGATTGCGGTAAGGGTTGCACAACTCTGTGACTATATTAAAAACACTGAACTGTATGCTTTTTTGTTTTTTCTTTTTATTTTGTGAGCTGTACATCTTAAATGGGTGAATTTTTATGTCATGTGCATAACATCTCAATAAAGATTTTTTTTTCAAGTCCTGCAGACAGAATGGAAATTGGATTTGGGGGCTGCTGTTATCTAGGGATTTCTGTCCATGTTTTGGGAATGCACACTACCTGATTTGCATCATAAACACTCAGGGTGACCTTGAGAGTGCTTCCACCCACCGTGTGCAGAAGGCCGCTTCTGTTCCTTTGTCCTACACCTGCCTCTGGGTTTTCAAAAAATGCTTATCTGGTCCCAGGTGCATGGTGTCTGCATCTTTGGGCAGCTTGCCTCCTGACCTCTGGGGTCTCTTTCCCTACTAGCATTTCTCATTTTGTAGACCCCATGCCCTTACGGTGATCCCTTCTGCTGCTACTGCAGGCCTCCTGCTGAGGGGACAATATTGGAAAAGTATAAGAGAAGTAAGAAGGAGGAAGAGAGACTAACAGTCCTGCCTCGCATACTTCCTCCATTCTCTATCCCAGAAGCCCTGGGGCAGGCAGCTGGAAGTTTCCACTTCCCTCACCCAATGCCCCTGTTGCCCCCCACCCCTAGAACCCCCAGATACATAGACACAAGATACCCATCCATCTGAGCGATGTTTAATGTGTCTTAGGTTCAAGGTACAAAACACAAGGTAGGTCCTAACCCCAGGAAAGTCACCTGCCACCCAGTTAGCCCCCCTTACCACTGCAGCCAGGCATCCCAGCCCCCAGAGCAATGGAGCAGTGACCCTGGGATAGCCTGTTCTTTCCCTTTTGGGGAAATGTTAAGGAGGTGACATGGGGGGCCGAGCCCGTGGTGCACTCGGTAGAGTGCGGCGCTGGGAGCGCAGTGACACTCCCGCCGCGGGTTCAGATCCTATATAGGAACGGCCGGTGCGCTCACTGGCTGAGTGCAGTGTGGGCGACACCACACCAAAGGTTGCGATCCCCTTACCGGTCACGAAAAAGACAAAAAAAAAAAGGAGGTGACATGGGAACCCAGAGGCCACTGTGTCCCCGCCTCAGAAAACCCAGACCCAAGGATCAGAAAGTCCAGACTTGGACCCAGAGCAGGAGATCCCCAGAGTGACCCTGGCTAAGAAGCAGCCCTGAGCTGAAGTCTAGCCCAGCCCCCTGGCCTTGGGCCTGGAAAAGGAAGAACTATTACCCCAATACCTGGCAGCAAAGGGAAGGGCAACACCAAGAAGTGTAGGCAGAGATTCACAGTGCCCTAAAAAAGTTGACTGTGGGTGGCTGACATAACAGGGCAGCAAAGCCTGAGGTTGAGGCCTTCTCCACCTCCCACCCCATTCCCTCTGAGGGCCAGCCCCTCTCTAAGCCTCACTGCCAGGGCACTGTCCCTGACCTGGTGCTGGGGAGGGGTGGAGGGCAGGGAAGGCCAGCATCAACTGAGAAGTGATGCCCTTGCTTTGGAGGCAGGAGCAGCTGCCTACAGTGATCTCAAGAAGAGTCATTGGGGAAGGGGCATCAGCTACCCAAGCCTCTGGGCCTAGCCCATAGAAGCTCTGAACTGGATCCTGAGCCTTACCGAAATGGAAGATGGTAGGGGTTAGGAGCAGGGAGGGTCCCTTCAGCTCAGACCACTCTGACCTGAAGCCCAGATGTTACTTCAGTCCAGACCCCTGTGGCCCCCTGTTAGGCTGAGTGGGCTTCTCTGCTCATTGGCCAGGGAACACTTTCCCACAGGGGCTCTGCCTCCTGCTCCTCCCTAGGCCCTGGGCTACAGCCAGCCACCTCTGTTGAATTGGATGCACCAGTGGGAGTTAGCAATGCCCGGGCTGAGACGGGTGTTGTCCTTGTGGCCCATGAGGGGCTGCAGCTCCTGCTGCTGGGGGATGTCAGCGCTACTCTCACTGCGAGAGCGGCCAGCCTTAGCCAGGCTCGGGGGAAAGGCGAAGCTAGGGTGTGGATCAGAAGGCAGGTTGAGAGGGGCTTGTGGCTCTTCGGTGCCCAGTGGGCAGGGAGGCAGGTGGGTCAGAGTCGGTGCCTGGGTACAGGGAGGGGATGCTAGGCTCTCCAGGGATGACATGCTCTGGTTCCAGCCTGTCTGCATTTCCACGGGCACAATCTTGGTGGTTTCTGAGGACACGTACACTGCCAGGTCTCCCTGCCCACTCTTCCAGGGTAGCTCCTTCTCTGCACAGGTTGGGGAAGGGGGGATGATGCGTGGGCTTGGGCACACCTCAAGGTTTCCTGGGGAGAGAGAGTACACATGAGCTCGTTACCAATACAGTGGACTCCTTCTCAAGTATAAGCACATTTTCCTGAGTAAATTCATCCCATGGTGCCATATCACATCCATCTGTACGATTATGTGATGCATGTCTTGCTTGCTCTCCATTGTACCCCCAGCACCTAGCACAGAGCTGTGGGCACTTAGTAGTTGTTCAAGAAATAAATATTGAACAAATGAAAGTAACTAAAGTGAGGGAAAGCAGGATCTAGGCAGGAAAAGAGCCCGATCTTCAATCACCCTCAAGCAATTTGAAGCACCAATCTCAGAAACCACGTCCTGCCAAGCCCCATCCCAGCCAGCCAGCCAGCCAGCCAGAGTGAGGTGGCAGCAGAGGAGAGAAAGACCTTGAGGCTCCAGGCCAAAGGCTTTGCTACTGGGCGCCCTGCCTGAGCACCCACCACAACCCTTTCTTTGGTGGGACGGAGCCCAGAAGTGAACTCATGCAACCTAATAGCAGGCAGAAGCTGTGCCGCAAGGGGGATGACACAGCACAGGGGCATGAACTGAGAATCCCAGAACTGTAGGCAGCCGAATTTTACAGGAAGTCTGAGGTTCTGAAAGAGGAAACCTGGGAAAGAGAAGCCCTCTGGTTCCCTACTACACCCAGCTCTCCAAAGTCAAGCACCATGCCTTGCAAATAATAGGCGCTCAGCAAGTATCTGTTCATTGATAAAGTCCTGAGCAGTCCAATAAACTTGATTGAGTACATTATGAAATGTATTGAAGCTATGATTAAAAGTAAAACTGTCTCGGGCCGGCCCGTGGCTCACTCGGGAGAGTGTGGTGCTAATAACACCAAGGCCCCGGGTTCGGATCCTATATAGGGATGGCCGGTTCGCTCACTGGGTGAGCGTGATGCTGGCAACACCAAGTCAAGGGTTAAGATCCCCTTACCGGTCATCTTTAAAAAAAAAAAGTAAAACTGTCGCGGGCCGGCCCGTGGCTCACTCGGGGGGGGGTGGGGCTAATAACACCAAGGCCCCGGGGTCGGATCCTATATAGGGATGGCCGGTTCGCTCACTGGGTGAGCGTGATGCTGGCAACACCAAGTCAAGGGTTAAGATCCCCTTACCGGTCATCTTTAAAAAAAAAAAGTAAAACTGTCTCTTGAAAGACCTGGAATACCAAATTTAATGACAACAAAAAGCTAAAACAACAAAAACCCTGTGTTTACCTTTAGAGGATTCCAGGGAACTAACTCCGTGGTCTGAAAACTGATAGATGAAAGGAAACAATCAAGCATTTATCCATTCTTTCCTGTATGAACTGTACCTCAAAATAACCAAATAATTGATGAGGAGGAGTTTTTAAAAATAGAATTACTCCTAATAAGTGCAGATGAAAAAATAGATGCAGATCACCATTGTGCAATCCCTAATGAAATGCTGGATCTGGCAATGGTCATCAATGGTTGCTAAGACCATTTAACAAAAAGCTAATGGGGAACTTGATGATGGATGGATCAGGGGAACAGCATCTGAACCCAGTGATCGTTAACCTCACAAAAGAAACAACCATATGGTATGTGTTTCCCAATAGCACGCATTAGGGAGTACATCATCACCACTTATGAAGTATTCTTCACCAATAATTAAAACTAATATCTGATATAGATTTAATTATAGGCTTAAAGGAAATGTAAGGGACACAGAAATATATTAAATAACACTTTGGGAATGCAATCAGCAAAGTCCAGGCAGGGAAAGACTGCAGGACAAATAACCTGGTTTCTTCAATAAATACATTGAAAGGGGAAAAAAAAGTAGTGGGAGGGGGAACCTATAGATCAGGGTTTTTCAAACGTGACAACATTAACATCTTGATTCTTTCCTTTCAGACCAAAGAGTTAGTTCCTTAGATTCCTCTAAAGGTGAACACTAAGGGATTTTGTTGTTTTAGCTTTTTGTTGTTGTCATTAAATTTTCATATTCCAGGTCTTTCAAGAGATATAGTTTTACTTCTAATCATAGCATCAATACATTTCATAATGTACTTCTTTGTTACAGGGGCTGGCCTGTGCACTGTGGGATGTTTAGCAGCATCCCTGACCTCTACCGACTCAATGCAAGTGTACCCTCTCCAATTGTGACAACCAAAAATATCTCCAGACATTGCCAAATGTCACTTCACTACCACCCCCCCCGAGAACCACTGCTGTTGGTTAAAAGTGACTTATCAAACAAATGCAATGTGTGGGCCTAATTTAGACTTTCATTTGAACAAACCTACTGTAAAAAAAATATTAAGACAATTAAGGAAATTTAGGTTTTTTTGTTTTTGTTTTTGTTTTTTTTAAAAGATGACCGGTAAGGGGATCTTAACCCTTGACTTGGTGTTGTCAGCACCACGCTCAGCCAGTGAGTGAACCGGCCATCCCTATATGGGATCCGAACCCGTGGCCTTGGTGTTATCAGCACCGCACTCTCCCGAGTGAGCCACAGGCCAGCCCCCAATTAGGGAAATTTGAACACTGACTAGATATTTGATGACAAAGATTTTAGATATGGTAGGTAATGGTATTGTGGTAATATTTTTTTAAAAAAGAAGGGCTGGCCGGTTAGCTCAGTTGGTTAGAGCATGGTGCTGAACATCAAGGTCCAGAGTTCAATTTCAGTACCAGCCAGTCGCCAAAAAAAAAAAAAAAAAAAAAAGAATCCTATCTTTTAGAGATACCTGCTGAAGTATTTATTAATAAAGTGATATTTGAGATTTTCTTCGGAAGAACCCAGTGGAGCCAGGGGCATAGGTGAGGGTACAGGTTGAATGAGATTGACTAGGCGTAGATAATTATTGAAGCTAGGTGATGGATAGATGGGAGTTTATTTTACTGTGCTATCATTGTATATTTTGAAATTTTCTGTAATAAAACTTTTTAAAAAGACACTTTAAAAAAGACATCGGTGGTTGGTTCAAGACAACCACCAGTGATATCTAATATTATGAGTGGATTAGGTACAAACATAGGTGACTATTGAACAACTTAGGAGTTAGGGGCTCCAACCCCCAAGCAATTGAAAACCCATGTATAACTTTCCCCAAATTGTTACTTAAGTAATCAAGTAACTTAAGTGGTTAAGTGCTTAAGTAGTAGGCCCCGTGTAATCCATGGATATGAAAAGTTGGTCCTCCTTATAAGCCAGTTCTGTATCCCTAGAATATTGTTTTTTTTTCCTTTCTTTCTTCCTTCCTTCCTTTTGTCCTCCCTTCCTTCCTTCCTTCCCTCCCTCAATCCCTCCCTGTATTTTTGATCTGAGAAGTTGGTTAAATCCATGGATGTGGAAACTGTGTATAAGTGGACCCACATGCAATTCACCCATGTTCAAGGGTCAACTGTATATCGTTTTTTTATCCACAATGATTCCATTTTGATGAATTCAGGCTCCTCCCCCTGGTGAGGCTGCCACCTCACCTAGGGCTGTATCTAAGGGCAGGTGTGCTAAGCAGGGGTCACAGCAGAGCCTACCATTAGGTGTGCATACCACCTCATGTTCCTCACCCGCCTGTAAAGGGAGGCAGTGTGACAGTGAAAGGTTGGAGGCTTTGGAGTCAGATGGGTCAGATGCAAATTCTGATTTTGCTGTGTGATGCTGGACAAGTCACAAGTCCCTTAGGCTCTGAGTTCAGTTTCCCCATCTTGGTTGTTGTGAGGGTTGAATCAGATGGTGTATGTCAGGTGTCTGATATAAAGGAGATGCTCAGTAAAAGCTGGTTGGTGAATAAACTAGTAAATAAGAAAAGGGAGTTGTCTGGAGTAGAGGCCATGAATGAAGAGGGAGGAAACCAGTGTGTTCCAGAGGGGAGGGAGGCAGCAAGAAAGCCATTACCTGAGACCTTGCCCTCTTGGAGGACCTCACTGGTGGCCCGAGCCACAAAGATGATCCCTTCGTCGTCCTCCTTCTCTGTCTCTGAACTGTCACTCTCCTCCTCCTCTTCAGACTCCACGGTTAATATCACAGCAGCTGGACAGGGACAAGAGCTGAGTCGGGGCAGCCAGCCCAGCAGCTGCCTCTTGGTACTGCACAACCCTAGGCCAGCTCCCTGTCCCCCCAGGCAGAGGCCACATTGGTAGGAAGCACCTGCTTTCTCCTCTGGCTGTTTTGAGCACTGGCCTAAGGGTAGGAGGCTTGAGAAGAAGGGAAGTGAGACTGCAGAGCCCGAGGAGGCAACCAGAAGAAGCTAAGTCCACACAGGAGGCCATCAGGGTCACACTTTCCAGCTCCCCCATCCTCTTCTGTCAGCCCCAGATCCCATCATCAACTGAAAATGTGAGCATTTGGAAAGCTGGAAGGCCCATTAACATTCAGCTCACACAAAACTGGTTTTGCAGATGGGACACTAGACCCCAGGGTCCACTCATCCTCCAAGGCTCAGACCAGCTCTTCCTTCTCCATGATACCTTTTCCAAGTCCTCAGGGCCTATAACCAGATGCCTCCCATCACATATTGTCTAATAAGTGCTTTGAACATTTCCAGCTTTGAAATCAAAAGTGCCCCTCTCGTCCCTGAGGGGAAAGCCCCAGCACATGGTGCTAAATGCACCCCAGAGGTCCTCCAGGATTCTGGCTGATGGGCCCCTGCCCTCCCCCTCCTCTCTCCCATCCTCATCCCACCCCTCCTCCCTGCTTGCCTGTGTCCTGAAATCCCAGGTCTTGAGGTTTCCCATTTGCAGCCTCAGCATTAGCCACACCATCCTTCTGAGGACCAAGAAAGAAAACCTGAGCCTCTGGCCCTGGCTCCACACCTCAACCCTGTCATCTGGTGGGGTCAACAGGACAAGACTTCCAAACACAGCAGGGGAGGGGATTTGTGTTTATCTCAATGGTTCTATCATCTTTTGGTCAGCCAGGCAAGAACCGTGGAGGCTTGAATAACCCATGCCCCAGCAAGGCACTGCATGCATCAGCCTGGGCTGAGTTAGTGCTCATGGAGTTGCCCTCAAAGGAACCCCCCTTCCTCCTGCCCATATCATCTCTGATAGGAGGTCCTGCTGCCTCCCAGCAGGTGACCACATGGCCAAGAAGCTGCTCTCCCTCTGAAGGCCTCACCTTACCCTTCTAGTGCTCCAGGAAGATCTAAAAGGGAACCCAAACTACTGCAACCATCAAGTCCCTGAGGACTATCCAACTAGGAGTCCCCCTAGGCTGGATTCCAATACTTGGGGTCTCAAAACTGTGCTGTCAGCCTCCAGTCCCAAAAAGGAGTCCCAGAGAAAGGACATGCCTTCCTGTGGCCAGTCTTGCGCAGTCGTGGCTTGCTCTTGGTGAAGCAGATGTTGTGCTTGGTGGACTTAAAGGACTCCAGCCGCCGCTTCATATTCTGCTGGAAGACCTCCTTGTCCTGCCGCTCCTGCGCATCCTCTGAGATGAAGTGGCGGCTGCAGCTGGCTTTGTACTGGCAATGACAGCCCCACCCTGCTATGAAGCTGGGTGCCTTGGCCTCCCACAGGAACCCCAGGCCACAGCCCCAACATGTTCACCACAGGCCCTGCCAGCCCAGCTTTTCCAGAAGGAGCCATGAATTAAAAAACAAAACCAAAAATACAATAGGAACCCAGCCAGAGACTGTGTTCTCACTTCACTGGGGAAAAAGTTCCCTTTATCCCAGAACTTATTCCACCTAAACTGGCCTTCCCCATCTCCTTCTGCCCTTCCCCACTTCTCTCTGATTTGATAGGACAGGAGGCAGCTGACCCTGTGTCTTGTCCCCAGGGACTACTAGGAGACCATGGGGGCCATTTTCTTCTCTGTACCTCCATTTATCTGAGCCTGGTCCACACACCCAGTCCACCTGCCCCCTTCTAGCTACACAAGATCCTTTCCAGCTGGACTCCAGATAGCCATTTCTACAACCACCACCGTGACACCCCAGGCTGCACTCCGGACGTCCATAACAATCTCCCCTGACACCCTGGACTCTCTCAGCCCCAACAACTATCTGTGCCCAATTCAGGCCCACCCCCATTATCTGCTCTTTTTAACTCTTTCTCATGAAGACCAAGCCCACTACATACTCACCTAGACTGCCTTCATCTCTGCCCTTGGCTGCTTAGCAACCTTCTCATTATCTGGCATAATCACCCAAAGTACTGCCAGGGTGTTCCAAATCATCTTGTCTGGCCTCACATCCCCAGTCTGGTCTCTTTCCTGTAACTCACGTTTTCTGCTTCCCTGAACAAATTCTAAGAGCTGTCTTCAAATCCCCCACCTGCCCCCCTCCTCTAGCTACGCACCAGGAGGTGCACCTCTCTCCTGGGGGTGAAGGGGTCCATTCCTTCACCGGGCTCACCATGCCCCAACCCCAGCCTCCCCTATGCTCAGCTCATTCCCTCCTGCCTCCACCAGCTCCCTGCTCCCTCCTATTTCTCCTCTCTCCTGCATCTTCACTCCTTCCCTCACCAATGGCTCCTTCCCTCTGCTTTCAAGCCAGCTCCTGCCCTGGCCTCCTTGGAGAAAGCCTTTCTATTGACACCAATGCCTACCTTTTGCTACTAACCTTTTAAAATTTGATTCTGACACTTTTCCTCATACACATTACTTCCTTAAATACCAGAAATGCAACTCCGAGGTCCAAAACTCCACATCACGCCTTCACTCTGGTCACCAGTGCTGTGACCTCTACCTAGGTACCAGTCTGGCCTGTGTGCAGCATCCAGCCCCCTCCTTCTGCCCCAGGCCTGAGACACCATCTGCTACTGCCTCTCAAGAGTTCTTTTTTCTCTCTTCTCCTTTGCTGGCTCCCTTTCCTCTTCTCCCATGTGCATTCCTCACAGTGTTATCTGTGGCCCTCCTCTCACCCTTCTAAATACTTGCTCTCCCCAGAGAACTTATCCATTCTCCCGGCTGGATTCAGCTGTCCCAATGATATAGATCTGTGGTCCCCAACCTCTAGTCATCAGAACAGCTGCATTTGAATCACCTGGGGACTTACTAAGCACACAGATTCTTAGTCCTACTCCATACTACAGAATCAGAATCTCCAGGAGGTGAAGCCAGCAATATGTATTTTTGAGAGCTCCCCAGGGGATTCTGATTTATCCAGGTGAGAAAACCTCTGACATAGATTGCTTCCAGATTTTTCTGTCTCTTAAACTATAATCTTATCTTTCTAACTGCATACTAGATACTTCTGTCTCTCTCTAATGTTATTCTTAAAGAATATGACAAATTATGGATTGTGTTATGGTATAACTAAGTGGATTCAGAACTGGTTGAGTAACCATACCCAAAAAACGCTTGCTCCATGTCAGTCTGGAGGAAAGTCTTTAGTAGCATGCCACAGAGCTCTGTCCTCAGCTCTATCCTGTTCAACACTTCTATGGCGATTTGGATGAATACAGTTAACAGGCTTAGCAAATTTTCAGATGATATGAATCTGAGAAGGAGACATTTGGTGGCAGACATGGAATCCAAACAATGAAATGATGGGCTAAAATAAGATGAGATTTAACAGGATAAGCACAAACTTACTCCAGTTTCTTAAAAAACTGACTACACAAGAATTGACTGGATTGAACCCATTGACCAATCTTACACACACACACACACATACACACAGACAACCAATCATTATGTACTTCCTGATGTGACACAATAAGAAACACATAGCATACCTATGGATGTCCCTGAATCTGATCAGGCTCTGAGCAGATTTAATAACCAGGAAATACAGAGATGGAGGAATGTTAACAATACTACTGGAATCAATCAGCAAAATCTAGAAAACAGGAAATTCTCCAAGACAAAGTATCCAGTTTCTCCAATAAATAGCAAGGTGGGGGGGGGGGGGGGGGGGGAAAAGGAACTATTATAGATTTTCTTTTAAATGAAGAGACATATTTCCCAAATGCAAAGTGTGGACTTTATTTGGATCCTGATTTGAACAGAGCAGCTGGAAAAAGATATTTATTGAACACTAACTGGATGTAAGAGTTCTTGTCACCTAGAGATACATCCTGAAATAGAGATGATGTGATATGATGTCTGGAGTTTGCTCTGAGAAAAGTGTGGGCAGGGTGTGGAGGGGCTACAGAATGTAACAAAATTAACCATGCATTGATAATTATTGGAGCTGGGTGATGAATAAATGAGAAACAATATAGGGCACCAGGGTGGTGAGCCAAAGCTGGAGGGATCCTGGGCTGTGGGAAAAGAATGGCAAATTCTAGAACTACAAAGGTAAGAAAGCCCCTCTGCCCTGCCCTGGCCAACCACACCTAGAGTAGCACTTTCCATTCTGGGCCCAGTTTCTTAAGGCCAGAGAGGACACACCAGGGGCAGGAGATGCTGGCCTGAGGGCAAGAGGGCCTGTGTAGAAGGGAATCATCTCGCAACCTTTGAAGATTTACTCTGCAGAGCTGCAGAGTCAAATCAGGACCAGTGGGTGCAAATTAAAGGAAATTGATTCTGTCTCACCAGTAGAAAGAGCTTTGACTGTTAAAACTGCCAGGAAGGGTTAACAGCTGGCTTCTCATTTCAGAAAGGTTCAAGGTAATGGCTTGCTGCCCCCTTGTGGGGTTGTAACAGATTCTGTACTGGATGAGCTGGGCCTTTAGAACTGCAAAGCTTCATGATCTGCGTTGGACTAATTCATGTTACTTAAAACAGATGCCTGCCTTCCCCATGCAAAGCTGGTCCTACAGGCTTCCTCAGTTCCTGCTTCTGTCTGTGACCCCATCATTCTCCAGTGACCATCCAGGCCCCCTGTACTCTATCTCCTCCTCTCCCCTTCAGGGCCGGTTACCTAGTCGTATGTGCTCCTCTCCCTTCCCACCACCCAGCTCTAATCTGCAATGTTTCACTCCAGCTTCCCAATTGACTCTCCCAGCCTCTCAACTCACCCCTCCAATTTGCTCTGTACTCTGCTACCAGAAAAGGTATCCTTAAACAGTGCTCAGATCGAGCCAACCCTTTCTTAAAAAAAAAAAAAAAAAAAAAAAAAAAAAAAAGGTTTTTTTTTACTGA